CCAGGGTGACAAGGACATTAGTGGAATCCGCCTTTACATGACATCCATTTTATCATGCATGTCCCACCATATCACAGCAATAGCCCATTGGGTGACTAGGAACATGGTTGTTTGGATAAACAGTCCCACAATCTTACAAGTAACCCATCAACTGTCTGATGAGATCTTTTTCAAAATAAGTAATTTTGATAAGTTTTACATCCAAATGTATTCCAGGCAATAACATCACAAAGTAACAAAAAAGTAATTAAATGTCTCTGTGTTAGTAAAATTAAATATAATGTAGAACTAAAAACAAATAAACTAATATGTGTGTCAATATTATGCTACAATGAGGTTGTTACTAGAATCTCTAAAACAATATTTAGTTTTGTGTCTGCTTTGGATTCCTAAGTGAATATGTCTTATACATAAATACACTGTAAGAAATTAAATGTTGAATTTACTCAACCAAGTTTTGTCAACTGGTTCCACTAAACCTAGATGCTTCAATAAAAACATATATAGTTACACGTTGGTATGTTAAAAGTAAATGCATATAATTCTTTACATATAGGGTCAGTTTTTTCCATTTAAATAGTCTAAAGCCGGGCGTACACTGTGCGACTTTTTCACTCGTAGCACTCAGCTTCAGCTCAAACTGTACGACTTCCTCGCAGAGCAGATCTCACGAGCCAGGCGCTCACACTGCACGACCCAGTTCTCGGATGTGACCTGACTGCTCACACTGTACGTCTGGTAGCAACACGTCGGCCCTAAAGATATGCTAAAAATAGCAGTTTTTATACAACACGTTAGATTTTTTTGTCTTGTTTTGCCTGTTGTCCTTCGGGAGTGCTGCAGGAGGACACACAGGGATTTATGGGGGTTGGATGAGGAAAACGAAATAAAGAAAGTAAATCTGTGTTTTGTGATCAGTTTAATTTGACATGAACACGACAAACACGCTTTCTTGACAATCGTTGTGAGTAAAAAACGTGTAGAAATAAAAACGAACAGCGTGTGTTATTAGGAAAATAGCGGGGAGCGGTGTTGATGCAGGATTGCGCATGCGCCGTGAGCGGTTCTGATACATTTTGGGTCGCAGCTGCTGGCAGCGCCGCTTCAGCAGTGCGATACCCTCACGAGGGACGAGCGAAATATTAAACACGCCAGAAGTCCGTGCGACCTCACGACTGCTGATCGGCAGCTGGTCACGTGGTGTTAATCGCCTCTTGTAACCCCCTGTACACTACACGACCGCTCGGCGCAAAATTCGCCCCAATGTCGTAGATTCTCGCACGACTGGAAAATCGGCTCAAAAAAGTGAAAAAGTTGCATAGTGTACGCCCGGCTTTAGACTATTTAGTGTAGTCTTTGTTTAAAATCAGTCCCCTATACTTCCTGGTTCCAGAGCCAATCATATTTGAGATTGCAATGTTGACAAGTCTGCACCGACAAATGCCGCAGCTACAACCCGGCCCTTGTAATTTGACACCAGCTGACAAAGAGCACCAGAGTTGTGAAAATAATGTTAGCCAGTAAATAGAGCAATCCCGAAGTTGTTTCTTGTAAACCCGAAAAGGCTGGAGGCTAACATTGAGCTAACAATGCTAAAGTGTCTCTGAAAATATTATAAGCTTCTTGTTTTAGTTACAAACAACTCAATAGATCTTATGACAAGGCTCATCAATTGGAAACAGATGCTCAGATCCAGGGGTGGACTGGCCTATCTGGCACTCTGGCACTGTCGTGGTGACCCCTCACACACACGCACGCACGCACGCACGCACGCACGCAGGCACGCATGCACGCACACACACACACACACACACACACACACACACACACACCATATATACCAAATAGCGTTTCTATGGCTACAATGTGATTTCTTAGAAAATATTCTATTTAGTAAGAGATAAACTTTACTGTCTTTATCTTAGTGAATATACAATTAATTTAACAGGTAAACTAGTAGTATCACATTCAATGTCAAAGAAAGTAAAATGTTATTGTCAGGAGACGGAGAATGCTTCAGTGGTTAGCAGCAATGTGCCAGCCAATGAACCCCTCCATGAGGCCACCACAGCTCAGGAGAACACCACTGTAGCTTCTTCTGAAGAGACTAATAGAGAGAAAATAAAGTTAACAGCTGAAACAGGAGGAAATAATGGAATTAAGCCTGATTTATGCTTCTCCGTCTGCGTCAGTGCGGAGACACGCAACGCGATTATCCGTACTTGCGTAGGGCTCCGGCAGGCACGAAAGTACGTACGGAGTCGAGCCCACTTTTTTAAACATCCGTCGAACGAAACGGATTACACAAGCTTGTGATTGGTCAGGACGCCGCTGTTGTTTACAGCGCCGCCATTGCAAAGAGAGCCGAAGATAACTAGCGGCAGACACGGAGAAGCTTGAAGAATGCCTCGTGAAAAAACTCTAAAAATATGAACGTTTCATCCTCCCGTGACTGGAGGAGTGAGATGCAGCAAGCGTTTTATTTGTGGACAGATATGACAGGAAACGTGGGTTTAGAGGTGGGGAGCGCATGAAGCGGTGAGAGAATGAGAGACAAATGTTGAGGGTCTGACCTCATGAGGAAATTACTATGCAGTGATTTTCTCCAAAATGACTGTGCTTAAATTGCTCTGAAAAGCAAATAATCACATCAGCGCCAAGAAACTTCATTTCCCATGATGCTTTGCACACGGAAGCATTGGAATGATGTCACCGCCTAATACCAGAAACACGTTCTGCGGGAGGCGGGAGCTCATGGACGCTTTCCCGCGAACTCAAGCTATAAATCATCAACGAAACAAAGAAACTTCGTTCTTTTTGCCCAGGATACCTGGCGGTAAGGACACGCTTGTCGAACGCTCCGACTCCCTTGAGCACGCGGAAGCTCTAAGTGCCCAAGTTGAGTCACGGGACCGCTGGAAGGCTAAGCTGCAAGCCCATCAGGTCTGTCTAACCGCTCGCTGCCTAGCTGCTGAAGGGAAGACCACAGAACCGGGTTGGGGAAATCCGCAACTCCGTCAAACTCACGGAGAACGCCAAACAACGGAGAAAGCCATCAAACCGACGGACGACGCCAAACTGCGGAGAAACACGGAGAACCGTCAAATCAAAACAGTGAGGGACGCTTCACTGTTCTGGTGATCAGAAACTCATCTCCTTCTCTCTTTCTTCTTCTTCCGTTTCCTCTATAGTCCAGAATAAGCAATAAAACCGCGCTATTGCTTAAAAAGTAGCTTCGTGTTTTCCTCTTTCGTCCCAAACACGTCCGTCGGGTCATTTTGAAAGAATAAACTGCTTATTGATCATTGTTTGGTATCTTTAAATGTTTTCTGCTTGGCCACGTGGTTAAACTAAAAGATATTATTCGTGATTAATCTTTTGTGTTGTTTCATGATCCTTTGAAATGTTTTGAGTGAATTTAAGGTTAAGTTACTTATGATTCTAAGTGCCTTGGAAGTTAAAGTGCAAGTTGCCACCCACACTTTAGCCAGACAAAGGGGTCAGCCATCTTGTATACAGACTCCATTTTAGAAACACACACACACATACATACACACAAAACACCTTGAACATTATTTTGAATATACATCCTTTTATTATATCACATGGTTATTATTCGTTTATGCCACTGTTTATTCATTTGACAAATTGTTAATTAAACGTTATAAAATTCAGATTTTCGTCTCCAGTAGCTTTGTTGTGTCGAAGAGAAGTCTCTGCTCCGAGGATTCTACGAACTTCAAGAAAGACTGATAAGAGTTTTGGATTCAATTTTTCCCCGGTTAAAAGGGAATGGTGCCCCGTATATCTAAGAATATCTTAATTAATTAATAAATCAGTAAATATTCCCATATTTACAGAATTTATTGAAGAATCCAAAAGTAAGTTAAAGCTTACGAATTGTTCGCTCCTAATAACCCCAACACAAATATGTCAGTGTTAAAAGTCTCTTATATACACAAAAAACACAATATAAACACACGATCTTGGACCGATAGATGACAGGATACCACAGAACAGCGCTACGCCCTCTGTGGTCCTGCCGGGCAATTGCTTTGCAACACTCTCCAGGAGACGGAGAAGTGTGAGAGCAAAACGCTTCCCTCAATCCGTGCGTGTCTGTCCCTTGCGGAGCTGACAGAGAAGCATAAACCAGGCTTTAGAGGGAAGTGGTAGAAAGTGGTCGACTGTAGAAAGTGGTCAGTGTATCCTCCAGCAGTCCAAGCCTATAGCAGCATAACTACAGAGATAACTCTGGATAACCTAGCCTTTTAGATGGAGGCATGTCAGAGGCAGGGCAAGAGAGAGCCGTCTTTACCGACTGCACACTCCACCTCCCTCTACTCCTCCACTTGTCCAGATCTAGACTAACATCAGATTTTAACCATAGGCCCTATCAAATAAAAATGTTTTAAGCCTAGTCTTGAAAGTAGACAAGGTTGCCTCACGGACTAAAGCTGGGAGCTTGTTCCACAAGAGAGGAGCCTGATAGCTAAAAGATCTGCCTCCCATTCTATTTTTAGATATTCTGGGAACCACCAGTAAACCTGGAGTCTCAGAGTGAAGTGCTCAGTTAGGAACATATGGAACAATCAGATCACTGATGTATGAATGAGCTTGATTATTAAGAGCTTTATATGTGAGAACAAGGATCTTAAAATCTATTCTGAATTTAACAGGTAGCCAATGTAGGGAAGCTAAGACAGGAGAGAGATTATCTCTCTTTTTAATTCTCATCAGAACTCTAGCTGCAGCATTTTGGACAAGCTGAAGACTTTTAACTACATTCTATGGACTTCCTGAGAGTAATGAATTACTAAGTAATCCAGTCTTGATGTAATTAATACATGAACTAGTTTTTCTGTATCACTCCTCGAAAGGATGCTTGTAATCTTCCAAAGGTGGAAGAAGGAAATCTTACAAACCTGTTAAATGTGGGATTTGAATGACATGTCCTGGTCAAAGATAAGACAAAGGTTCCTTCCTTTGTTCTCAGAGACATTTAAAGGGACTATAGGCAAGTTTTACAGCCAGAACATGTATAGAAATAAAACATTTCTTCTTAAAACATTCTCCTGCAATGCCCTGGTTCTGTAGAATGAGCCCTGGCATTTTACTGTGATTGTCTCTATAGGTCTTTAAAATCAAAAATAAGATTTTGCTCGGGTCCAGCAGGCAGGCTTCCCCCGGGTCTTCCTGGGTCTTCCAGAGGCAGCGTAATGCGTGATGACGTCATGCGCGTTCACGCTCAGACCTATCCCCGCAGCGTTTGTTTACTAGCGATAGCTTAGCGGCAGAGCGAGAGGTGGTTTAGCTAGCATGGATTCAGCAAAGAACAAGAAGAGAGCTGCTTCAAGCACTAGCGGAACTCCAGCCCAGACCCCAAACAAGTCAAAGAAACCAAGAAGAGTGTATTCCAGCGCAGGTAAACGGGCAAAACTCGAGTATGATCGCCGAATGCAACGAACGAGGATAAATATCGGTCCAGCATTTGAGGAGTGGAAAATGCTGAGAAAGTCTCTCAGGATGAAAACACACCCGCAGCTGGCATCATTTTTGCTGAAAAGGTAAGAAATTATTACTAAACACGTGTGGGGAAAGGGCTGTGGATGCTTTCAAAGTAAGCTGGGGGGTTTCCGTATATCATAACATTTATAAGCTGCTTGTCTAGCGTCTACACATCAGATTACCTATTTCCAGCCGCATCAGCAAAAAAAGAATAGTGTTTTCTACACACCAGCACCCAAATACAAGCTGGCGCACAGCGCATGTTTGGCCATAACACAAGATAATTAGACAGAAAGACGCTACACGGAATTTTTTCGTTGTTGTTTTAATTCACAAAAACGAATTTTAAACACGGGTGAACGTGCCTGCAAGTTTAGAGCCGCACCATGATATTTGCTGCAGGCTTCAAAGCACAGGGAAATAATAGTGGCTTTTAGGCCGGAAATTACAGTATATTGTTAGTGTAATGTACTAGAATTGTGTAAAAGAATTCTAAACTTTGTAAAACTGCGTCGCTAATCAAATCTATTGTTTATATAACAGAATCTCAATTGTTAACGTGTACACATGACTGGAGTATTGAAAGTTGCTTTACTTTTTTAGTTATGAGAAGCACGCTTCATCAAAGGGACCACTTACATCAACACCACGTGGGCCATCTACAGCAGTGTTTGCAGGTCCTTGTCGCCCCAGTTCAGTAACTGCAGGGGAATCTGATAGGTAAGTTCACTTGTAAACAAAATGCAACTCATATGTCAGATAATTGTTCTCCACATCAAATAAAATAAATACTGTGTACTTGTCAACAGGGATGACTTCCAGATCGCAGGAGTTGAACCTCTAAAAGCAGATCAAGAGGTAGAATTGTTGGAGGAAAGGTAAATATGCAGGGCTTTTAATCATTTGATGCATACCCTCTGTTTTCATAATTAATGTATTCTGTTTGTTTTTGTAGCATCAAATCGATGGAGCTGAAAGTGGACTATTTAGAAGAGGAAAGAGCCAATAGTTTGGAAAACAGTTTGTAAGTAACAAATTATTGTCATTGAAATGATATATGTCAGTATATATTGTCATATTTTGCTGCTGTATTTAATTCCAGATTAGAGTTTGAAGGAGAAGGAGCTTTAGACCCGTATGACTCAGATTATGTACCTCCAATATCAATAAGGTATGTTTCATAATTGAATTTTTTAAATAAGTAGTAACATCCCCACTCTCACTTTCTATTCACTGATTATATATATAAAAAAAATCTTGTGCAATAGGTGTGTCTCACAGGATGAAGTTGACCAACTTCCTAGCATTGGCCTGGATGAAGCTGTATTTGACATTGCTGATTGTGTGGAGGCAGATTTGGAAGAGAATTTAGAAGCACCATCAGCAGCATCCATTCCAGTTTTCCCAATACACGATCAAGTGCTTGTTGAAAGTGACCTCATAAACCAACAAGCGTGCATAGCATACAGCAAAAGCTTGCTCCAGATGGCCAATTTCCTCCAACTGCCTCTCAGTAAATGCCACTACAGTGACCACAGCACAGGCACATATTGTGATGGCCATCCTCCTTTTCATGTAAAGTCACGTCCGAGAGGTACAGCTTTGATAATTGAGTGGATGAGTTTATGTTCTAATGCTTGCCACTTATGTTAATGAGGAAGCAGTACAACTTTAGGAATGTGAAATATGTGTGAAGCGCCATTTCCACTTTTTTTTGGTTTTGTTTGTATTTTAATACAGTTTTGCCCACGTGGACATAAATTATGGAGTTGGAACAGCCAGCCAAAGCTGAAATATGGGATGCAAGGAGGAGATTTCATGTTGTCAACAAACATTCTGCTGTCAGGGAACAACTTCTCCAAGATCGCTCTCCTGTTCAGATTCATGAATATCCGCATGGTGACATCCAAATCCTTCTACTCAGTCCAGGGTACCTACTGTTTAAAATCAATACAGCAGTTTTGGGAGGAGAAGAGGAATGCCATCATCAAGAAACTGCAGTCAAAAGACCGCGTGGTTGCTCTTGGTAACTAAATATGTTTACTTGTAAAGGCTCATATTCATTACATGCTTATATTTCTGTGTTTCTTTTTTAGCTGACGGGAGGATGGACTCTCCAGGTAACGAACAAGCTTTTTGAAATTTAATTTTAAGATCAGTTGAAATATTTCTTTTCATTGTTATTTTACAATTTTCTGTATCTCTTAAAAAAAAGGTCACTCAGCAATGTGCTGTACATACACAACGATGGATCTAGACACCATGGACATCATCAGTGTTGTCAATGTGGACAAAAGATGGGTTGGCTATAAAAGTGGGGTCATGGAGAAGGCTGCCTTTATACAGACATTTGACAGTCTCACAAAGGAGGTGAACATCAAGGAGATTGTGACTGATGCCCATGTACAAATTGCTGCCCTCATGCGTAAGATTTTCACAAAACTTCAGAGTTTTTACTGGTAATTGGAAACCAGATTGTTAAAAGACTGTTTTTAATTTTTTCTGACCAGATCCAGAACGGGGCAAGATATAAGGATCAGGCTATTACCCATTCGCTTGATGTCTGGCACGCCGCAAAAAATCTGACAAAGAAACTTCATGCTGTATGTCAAAATGTATTATGATGGTAATAATCCTGGCTTGTTCAGACTTTATTTTAATTACTAGTTTTTCTTGCCTTCAAACAGGTTGGAATGATTTCTGGTCAAAAGCTTATACTTGGATGGATCAAGGACATTGTTAACCATTTTTGGTATGCTTGTCAGCACACAAGCACCAGAGAAGAGTTTATGGTTTGTACAAACACAGTATTCATGTATACAGTCGTCCACTAATGTAATGTTTTTGTTTATATTTGCTGCCATGGTTCATTATCTTTTTCTACTGACGATGTAAATGTTTGTATTTTCTACCTTGTGTGTTTTTAGGATGTCTGGAAGGGTGTACTTCACCACGTGACTGGAGAGCATGAATGGGGCTTTGGCAGGTGCTTTCATGCTCCTTTGGCGGAGAACCCAGACAAAGAGCTCATTCCACATGGATCTGCTGCACATGTGGCGCTTTCACGGATTGTTTTGAACCAGCGATGGCTAAAGGATATAGAGAAGTTGCTCACCTTTAGGTAAATTACTGACATTTGGTGGAAATGTAAAGTTATTGTCTTACTAACAGTAAAACAAAATTGGAAAACAACAATGCAGCTTTTTTCTAACTAATACAATCTCTGCACTTGGATCTGAGTTCTTTCCAATAACAAGTACCATAACAGTTACTTATTCCACACCAAACAATTCAATGAAGCAGAAGACCGGTTTTATTGTCTTCTCTGCCTGGTGCTACAATTGAAGTAGATTTAGATAAAATGTAAAACACAAATAAACAACCACTAATATGAAATTTTATCTGAAAATTAATATTTTAGATGAAAATACTGCTGTTTCTACATTTTTAGTATTGGTTCTTGTTATCTGTAAACTACACACATGAGGACATTAGATTGGTATTGCCCTGATTCCAGTATCTGTAATGTTGTAATACCTACCACAAAGTATATTATATTGCGCTGAGTTAGAATTTATTTCTTCTACAGACATTGTTTTTTTCCCCCAGGACCACTGCTGAGCTGGAGTCGTTCCAAAATCACATCTTGATGTACGCCGGGAAACGCTTTGCATTCTCATTTGGTGTCTATGAAGCTAGGACACTCCTCGCTGCATTAGACTACAACCACCATAACCATCGCCCAGTGCATGTGAACATCAAAGGCCAAGTATCGTAAGTCAAACTTGGTGGCTTTTATATATTCATAATACCTTTATATAATTTCCTAATGTCTAAATTCATTTTTTTAGACACAAACGAGTCGCAGCGTTACAGTGTTCACACTGTAAAGGAGACCAAAGACTACGGCTACATCCCAGAGCTGCAGACAAGAATCCTGGAGAAGCGCCTCAGCTCTGCTGGGGGACTCCCAAAAAGAAGAAGCATTCAGGCTGATGACCCCAGGGCCCTGGGTCCTCTCTCCGGGATCAGCCCTCCTCCTACAGCTGAACTGGTACAGACACAACAACGCAGAGGACAGGTAGTGATTATACCCAAATCTCCTCTCCATTTTTGTGGAAGAAAATTACATAAATGTAATTTTTGTTTTTTACAGGACTTATGTGATACCTAAACAGAGGCTGATGGCAATCAAAGTTGAACACTACAGATTTATTTATGTAAATATGTACAAAAAGTTTGCAACAACAATAAAAGTAAGTCAAACTTCTGAGTTGGTCATGAGTTGCATGTTTGTTTCAGCGGAAGGGGGCTTCTTTATAACCAACATAAATCCCAAAGTGGTCAGGGTATTTGTCCCTAATCCTCCAAACACAGCAGGAAGGAATCACCCTACGATTGCCAGCGCCAAGACGTCCATATTGCCAAATAGTGTACTGTCTATAGGCACAGTAACAGTACTCCCGATTATCTGATCCAGGGTCTTGGCTATCACGCAGAGCCAAAATGTCATTCCACGTCTGCTGAGCCAAACGCAGGATGCCTTCATCCATGCAGTACAGGTTAAAATGAGCACGCCTGCTCAAACACCATTCTGGATCCTGTCTACAGCACTTGTTTTCCAGGTCTGTAGGCATCATTCGGCAGTAGGAGCAGGTGCACCAAGCTGGCTGACCCTGGTTTGATGGAGGGTGTCCTGGTGTGGCCTGTCTATAGTCCATAATGTCCAGTAACACTCCTGGCAGACGTCTAACAACCATCTGAAGGACTTCATCTTTTTCATCCATACTTAGGTGTTGCAACTGTGCCTGAAAACGAAAGGCAGCATTTATTTTATAAACTTTATGATTGTGAAATGTATTAGTGTTCTGCATTATGACCAACCTGTAACTCTGCAGTTCTGTCAGCAGACATCTGAGCAACCCGTTCTCTGTCTTCCTCACTAATGCATCCAGCTCTAGCTCTTCTTCCTCTAGCCTGGCTTCTCCCCCGGCCTGTACTTTCATATATGTTTCTCCCTCTGGCTGCTCCTCTCCTTGTTCCTCTTCCTGCTCCTCTTCCTGCTCTTCTGCCTGCTCTCCCTCTGCCCCCTCCAGAATCACTCTTCAGAAACTTCGGAGTAATGAGATGCACTGGATTCCTTGAAGGAAAAGTAATAAGGTTTACACGTTGATGTGATGGAATGCATGTTTTACAAAAGCTTCGCTGTAATAATCCATAAAACATTTAGGTAATGGTGTATTTACATTTGATGAAAATAATGTTGCTAAGACTATCTTTACCTGGATGCAAAAGAAAAGCAGAGGTGGGTAGAGTACACAAAAGGTGCACTCAAGTTATAGTAGCAGTACCTCTATGTATTTTTACTCTAGTAAAAGAAAAAAAGTAGCAGTCCATCACATGATTTTTTTTCTAGTAAATGGCCTGTACTTGTCAAGTAGCAACCAGTAAAGTGCTTATTAACTACCAGTGCAATTATTTTAATATTACAATAGGGCCTACGTTTATGCATAATTTGTGTACTAGTATTTTTTTCAACATCATACATAATGTATTCATATATCGGTATTATTATGCTTCCTCACTCAACTCACTTTGCTGTGCATGCACCTATCACAACCTGGAAAATATGCAGCCCAAATTGATTTGGTCTAAATATTTTACAATTATTACCTCTGTCGAAGTCATGCCGGCAAACCTGTAAATTACACCGGTACGGGGCTGACGCAGCTGTTTTTGTTCGGGAGCGTGCACATATAGCACGCGCGCCTCGTGCACGAGCCTACTATTGAAGCTGCAGTTACACCTTTGGCCTGAGGGGGCAATAGCGAGCATAAAATTTCAAAACTGCCTAAGGCACCTTTAATGCCATTCAGGTCAGGTGATTGACTAAGCAATGTCCTTTTCTGAATTTCAGGTCCAAAGATGAGAACTTCAGTCTTGTCTTTATTTAAAAGCAGAAAGTTTAGAGCATCCAATTTTTATGTCTTCAAGACAAGCCTGTAATCTTCTTATAAAAAGTGTAGAACAAACCCCCCGCCCATCGGACAGATTCCTGGGCTGAGTTTTTGTTCCAGTCTGTCCCTGCTATAGATGTCATTTAGGTTTTAGTAGAACCAGTTTACTTAACTTGATTAAGTCATCTCAACATTTGGTTTCCCCTAGTGTGCAGTCCAACAAATATTGAATGACATTAGGTTGGTTGGATTAATGTTATTTCTCTCAGGTATATAATTGATCCTAGAATAAGATTCCAGTTTTATTGAGTGTAGAAGATCCACTGTTTGTTTGTGTGTCCATTTATTAGCACAGGAACACAAACCATGAGTGTGTGACTGCAGGTGTGTGTGTGTGTGTTATTTTTGAACCTGTGTGTGTGTATAAAGCTTTTTCATGTGTGAGGGATGGCAGCTGCTGTCACCTGGTGGGACTGACAGTAGTTAAAGACAATAAAGCTGTATGTGAAACAGACCTGCTGTCACTTCCTTCTTTGTGTTATTTTATTTCTCTCTAATGGGCTTTATTTCATTGTCAGCTGGCAGTCTCCCCCCTCCTTCTTTTCCTCTTTCTCTTCCTCCTTCCATTCCCTCCATCGTCATTTTTCCCCTGCCTCTCGACACATTACAGGCTGTCTTTGGAGAACAACGGAGGGCCAGAGACCCTCTGCCAGCTGTAACAATGTGGTAAAACAAGCAGACAGGTAGACTTTGAGTGGGGTGCGTGCATGGACGTGTGTGCACACACTCGTTCATTTAAATCTGTGAATTCACAGGCTAGCACGTGTGCAGCAATGTGTGTGTGTGTGTGTGTTTCATCTCCATGCCCATAGCATGCATGTGTCTTCGTTTTTGTGTGTCCTGGAAAACCTATCAAAGTCCTCCCTATTAAAAAGGCTTCCGTGGCACATTATTAGCCCCTGTTACAAGGGCAATCTATCTAAGCTTGAGCTAAAGGGTGAGGAGAGGGGAGGAGGGCCGGGCTATGGAGTGGTGAAGGAGATTCCTGTCAGCTCAGAGAACATTACCTGTCCCAGAGTGCTTGTATCCGCAGCAGGTGTGCTGACCCACCAAGACCCATCAGCCTCTTGCTGTACACACACACACACACACACACACACACGCACGCACGCACGCACACGCACACACACACACACACACACACACACACACGCACACACACACACACACACACACACACACACACACACACACACACACACACACACACACACACACACACACACACACACACACACATCTCAGTTTTGGAAGCACAACCAAACATTCCAAACTGAATGTACACACACCTTTAGAAATACTTCATACTCAGTCTTGTGAGGGGCGTGAAAAGTAACACAATAAACTAAGAAAACATTGATTTAGGTAAGGAAGTTAAAAATAATAAAATGGTGTTTAAAAGAGTGAAATAAAGAAACAATATGGATCATAATCAGAATATGAAATTGAAAAAATGCCCCAAAATCAGATTTTCAATCTGCCAGGGATTTTAATGAAGAAG